ATTAAAAAGCTTGTATTTCCTTTCAACTAATATACATACCAATAATACATACTGTACCTTGAAACTAATATACATACCAATACTACATACCTTTAAACAAATATACATACCAATATTTTAGCAAGTTCCTTTTCTTCACACTCCTCTAAATTTTTGTTTAACTTGTCATTGGTTTTCTATATGAAAGACAGGAAAAAATAGCTTTTGGTTAGCTATAGCATGGTAGTCACATGCCTGTATGAAATATATAATAATTACCAGGATTGTCTGCAGTTCCTTTGGCGTGCATTTCATTTGGTACATCAGCATCTCTTGGGCAATATCCTTTCTGTTCTGAAGTTTATTCATTTTCTCATAAGTGTCAGTGTTCAAAACAGACCACCCCAGGAATTGTGTCAGGGCCTGCAACAGAGAGAAAGGTGCTGTCATGTATGGTCAGGTCTGAGGACACAGAACCATTAATGGAGACAAGTAGGTGGGCCCAGACAATGATGTTAAAGTAGCCCAGGTTTATGTTGTATTCCATTCAAACTTTCTTCTCATGACTAATGTTTACTAAACCTAAAGGAGCATTATTTCTGAAGCAGCCTTGCTTCCTAATGTAGATGTAGGTGGGTCATTATAAAGCAATTACATTTTTAAGTAACTTTATTCGCAACTGCTTTGATTTTGATATTTGGATTGGTAACCATTGACAATCATTTCCATGATGCAGCTTATGTCTTTTCTTCAGTTTTCAGCTGAAAGGTTTCAGGTTTGCTTGCAGGTTTCAGCTGAAAGGCAATTGGGGCAGCCAATCACATAGGTAAAGTATATGTAAACCCAAAACTTATTTTTTTTAAGTTTTAGATGGAATGTGGAAGGGATATAAAACCTTTGTTGGGGTTTTATAGCTGTCTGCATCTCTACTGGGAAGATTAACCCCACTCTATTTATCCCGGTGACCCTTGTCAGTACAGAAAGTGATGGCAAAACCAAAATGATTGGGTTGTCACAGGAACAGGACATAAGGGTAAATCTACCAATGGTGAAACCTGTTTTGGTGACAACTCTCTCCCCTCACTTTAGAGAGATCTGAGTCTCTAAGAAAGGAATTAAAAATAGCCATCAAAAATAAATAAAAAAAATAAAAAAAAAAACAACAAACTCTACTCTATCCAAAAAAAACGTTTGGGCCATATATACAATTTTAGAAAAAGGAGATAAATACTGAGTGGTGCGATCTGTCAAAAGAGGACTTACACTAGATTAATAGTAAACTTGTCAACAAAGAAATACAGGTGAAACTCAAATAATTAGAATATCGTGCAAAAGTTCATTTATTTTACTAATGCAACTTAAAAGGTGAAACTAATATATGAGATAGACTCATTACATGCAAAGCAAGATAGTTCAAGCCGTGATTTGTCATAATTGTGATGATTATGGCTTACAGCTCATGAAAACCCCAAATCCACAATCTCAGAAAATTTGAATATTGTGAAAAGGTGCAATATTCTAGGCTCAAAGTGTCCCACTCTAATCAGCTAGTTCTCCTTAGGGTAACGGGAGGACACAAACCTGGCTTGAACTATCTTGCTTTGCATGTAATGAGTCTATCTCATATATTAGTTTCACCTTTTAAGTTGCATTAGTGAAATAAATGAACTTTTGCACGATATTCTAATTATTTGAGTTTCACCTGTATGTACACTGCCGTTGGTTCTTGACCTTCTTCTGAAAACGCCCATTACCTGGTCATTGTGGGGATATTCTTATTCAACACTTTCTGAGCAACTGGCCCAAAACAAGTATCCACATACTCATTCTGAGCATATAGTGGAGATTACATGAGGATACTCAGTACAGTTGTGTATAAATGATTGCTACTGCATGCTGCCGCATACTACTTGAGTGGCATACACCATAGAAAACCATTTGTTCTATCTGTTTAGCAAATAATTATTACCCTTAGTGATTATCGCCAACTTTGGCACATTTCACTTCACAAGCTGGCATTGACATTAAAAGGCGGAAACATGATATCGGCTGGCAGTTTCCTTTATAGGAGAACTGCATGAAAAATCACTTGTACGTGAAAAGCTATTTCCATCCATGTGTGTTATTAATACTCCTGCCTAAAGCAGTTTATTGAGATTGCATGGTAAAAATGAAGTGTCCTTAAAGAAGAACTCCAAGTTTTTAAAAAGTCAACCCTTACAGTTGGGCTACCTCTGCACTGCAAGGGTTAAATGCTTGGTTTTCTCTAGGGGCGACAATAAAAAAATAAATACCCAATCCTCGGTCCTGCAGCAGTGACTGCTCAACTGGGGTGAGTACTAATAAGATATATTGGGCTGGTGGCCCTAACTGAAGATTCTTCACATCATTCAGAAGGAGTCAGTAATGGCTGCTAGGCATTATATGTCTACCTAATCCTGTTCAGACCTGCAATCACAGCAACAAGCAGAAATAAGTCTTCAAGTGCAAACTTACTTTGTGGGTCTGAGATTTCATATGAGCCACAAAGGAAGCTGTGAAAAGGTGTGGCACAGTAAACCACGTCCTTTAGGAAACACACCCTTCACCATGCTCACTCATAACTGTTGCACTATGGCACACTTGCCTTGGTCCTTTGCTTAAGCCCACATAAATCTTCCCTTACATCTGCCCTTGAATAATGACACATGTCCATCAAATCCACACAATAGGTTGGACTTGATGGACATGTGTCTTTAGTCAACCTCAAATACTATGTAACTATGTATGTAACAATGTATTCAAAAGAATGGAAAATATTGAACATCTCCTTACTTCTGTGATTTGTTCATCGTATTCATCAAACGGCCTCCCATCTGTCCTGTTGTAAAAGGTGGCCACTCCCACGATCTCTTCCTTCTTGTTGACAATAGGCAATGAGAGGACATTCTTCATACACCATCCCGTCTCATCTACAGCTTCTTTCTACGGTCAAAAGTGGAGTCAAAGGTAAAATGTTGGCTTTAAAACATTCATACTGCTAAACTCTGGGTTAGATAAAGTCAGTGTTTTCAAATCTTGATGAACAGAAACACAAATGTCACCTGAAATTTGAAGTATTCGTCTGCTGGAGCATTCATCATGTTGCAAATCTGAAGTAAGCGTGAAGAAAAATATATGAGATACAGGGATTATATCAACCTGACAAGACCCAAGCTCTACTTTTGAAAATGAAATGTGGATCAACAATCAACGTGAACTTCTAAGGTAAATATGAATCTGATAGGTGGCCATTGGAAACCTCTTAATACTGGATTTTATTTTAGAATCAGACTTTCTATATATGAGAAACAGCAAGCAGGCAGGTTCCAGGATCTCCAGATTAGTGGAAAAGGATTTGGGATGGACTGGTGCTCTACAGCAATGCCTGGATGAGAAATGGAACTACCAAGCATATAGGTTGTGCTGTCTGGATGTTTCTCAAGGTTTAATTTTCAGTTGTAAAGTATACTTTTAAAGGTGCTGCCAATACAACTGCATAATACACATTTTACAGTTTTCTATTAAAAAAACTACAAAAATTTAGACATACCTTAGAATAACAAAGAGATGTACACTTGACAGCCTCATTGTACTGTACATCAGAGATTCTCTATTTTACAAGAACACAATTGTTTTAAATAAAAAAAAAAAAAAATCAAAATAAACATACATATCCATTCTCAGCGACGAACGTGGGCAGTCCACTCACGAGGGACCAGTGATCTTCAGGAGGTGTGCTAGGAACACAACACAAAGCACATTTAGCTGGAAGAATCAAACAACTATATATTGATATTTAATTTCACACCATTGATGCAATTGCTTGTCATATCTTACGGGATGACTTTAATTTCTTCTTTCCCGAGCAAAATATAATCAATAATCTTGTAAAAAATAACTTCCTGAACAAAAGAAAAAGACAATTGTTAGTGCTTCCTAATGGCATCAAAGATAACTAAATACTTAGAATGTATCTCTAGGGGGGAAATAAAATCTTTTTTGTTAGTTTTGTGTGGATAGGGTTAGACCTTCTGTTCCCATTGGGGTGATTTACCACCCAATTTGCACTGGTGGCCATTGTGAAAAAAGGGTGAGGAAATCCAACATTTTAGAGCTGCCCCCAGCATATGTTATGAAGGGAAAGCTTCCAATTTTTGTGGGTACAAGAAATGATTGCCAATGTGTATTGCAGCCTCAGTCAGGCAGTTCTACACTGGTAACAAAAGGCAACAAATTGTGTAATCACGGCCGACCTTTTACTTTGTCTACGGTTTAGCCCTTTCATTGGACAAGCCCATGTATATGCACTCACTGGCCACTTTATTAGGTACAAATGTTTAATTGTTAGTTAATGCAAATATCTAATCAGCCAATCCACATGGCAGCAAATCAATGCATTTAGGCTTGTAGACATGGTCAAGATGATCTGCTGAAGTTCAAACCGAGCATCAGAATGGGGAAGGAAGCTGATTTAAGTGACTTTGAACGTGGCATGGTTGTTGGTGCCAGACGCGCTGGTTTGAGTATTTCAGAAAGTGCTGATCTACTGAGATTTTCACACACAACTATCTCCAGGGCTTACAGAGAATGGGCTGAAAAAGAAAATATGCAGTGAGTGTCAGTTCTCTGAGTGAAAATGCCTTGCTGATGTCAGAGGTCAGAGGAAAATGGCCAGACTGGTTCGATATGATAGAAAGGCAACAGTAACTCAAATAATCTCTCGTTACAACCAAGGTATGCAGAAGAGCATCTCTGAATACACAACATGTCAAACTTGAAGCAGATGGGCAGCAGAAGTCCACACCAGGTGCCACTCCTGTCAGCTAAGAACAGGAAAATGAGGCAAGGGCTCACCAAAATTGGGCAATAGTGGAATGGAAAAACATTGCCGGGTCTGGCGAGTCTCAATTTCTGACATTTAGATGGTCCGGTCAGAATTTGGCATAAAAAACATAAAAGCATGGACCCATCCTGCCTTGTTTAACAGTTCAGGCTAGTGGTGGTGTTGTAATGGTGTGAGGGATATTTTCTTGACACACTTTGTGCCCCTTAATACCAAGTGAGCATCGTTTAAATGCCACAGCCTACCCAATGACCATGTCCATCCCTTTATGGCCACAGTGTACCCATCTTCAAATGGTTACTTCCAGCATGATAATGTGCCATGTTACAAAGCTAAAATCATCTCAAACTGGTTTCTTGAACATGAAAATTAGTTCACTGAACTCAAATGGCCTCCATAGTCACCAGACCTCAATCCAATAGAGCACCTTTGGGATGTGGTGAAACAGGGGTTTGCATCATGGATGTGCAGCTGACAAATCTGCAGCAACTACGTGATGCTATCATGTCAGTATGGACCAAACTCTCTAAGGCAGGGGTGTCAAACCCAATTTAATCGTTGGCCGCATAAACATTATGGTTGCCCTCAAAGGTATCTGTAAGACTATATAAATGTATCTAATCTTTATCATAATTACCTCTGCATTCGATTATCGCTGGTTTTAGTAATAACTTAATACCTGGATCTGAAAGTAGAAGTCTAGGAAATGGCCTGGTGGGCCGGATTCGGCCCCTGGGCCTTGAGTTTGTCACATGTGCTCTAAGGAATGTTTTCAGCATCTTGTTGAATCTATGCCACAAAGAATTCTGAAAACAAAGGGGGGTCCAAGCCTATCCTTCACATTTTTACATCTCAGTGTGTGAACCACAATACGTGTTTTCCCCAGCTGGTGATGTGAAAAAAGTCTGCGACTATGGGGTTGACTTTCTAAAGGCAAACTTTCACTTTGCAAGGGAATTAGCTTAATGAATGAGGGGACTTTTATCATCCAATCTAATACTGCTTTTTTTTGTTTTTTTTCCTTGCACATGGTTGTGGTTTTTTTTTGGTGGGGGAGGGGGGGGGGTTCTGCAAAGTGAATTTTCTCCTCATTCACTAAGCTGAAGAAAAAAATTCCCTACAATAAACAGTCTATTCCCCTTTAGTAAATCAACCCCCTATGTTGTCTACTTTGAGGAAGACATGGAGCCTGGGGGAGAAGAATGAGTACCTTCACAGGCATACTGGGGGAGAAGGCACACATTCTGACAGTTTCTGACGTGCTGAAAGTTTCGTATTCATTTGGTTACAGTAGAAAACCCTTTTAACAGTTTTCAAAATTAAAAGCATTTTAAACTTGTGTACAAAAAATATATAGATGTACAGGGAAGGCCTTACAAACCCTTCCATCTGGTGTCTTCGGTCCTTTGTAAGGCGGTACTTCTCCAAGCTTGACTGGCCATTCTTCGTAGAACTCCTAAACAACAGTGGAAGAGGGTATACAAAAACAAAGTCTGTATTAACAGAACGCATATTGTCTATATTTCCAGTGTAACATAATGAAAATTGAAAAGTTGTTGTAGGGGAGGTAGTTTTGTTCCTAAATACACTGTAACAATATTGTATTTAGGTATTAGTGGTTACATGCAAATCAAACACCTGTCCTTTGATCTGCACATAACGGTAACAGCAAACCTTTTCCTAAATATAAGTTGTCACTATTTAATCCCTAATTTGCCTTTATTAGTTCTTATTAATTCATTCCTATCCTACCTCCAATTTTTGCAGATTTTTTTAACCATTCATTATTTTTAGTTTTTATGAATTTTTCTTTGTTCACTTTGTAGTGCCATTTAAAAAAAAATGTAAATAACTTTCAATGACTTACATCTCAGTGGCTTCATAAAAGGGACAATGTGCACTTTTGCTGCCTTATTTCCCTCACATAAGAAAACATTTTGGTTACCATAATGTTAATGAAAATCTCTTTTTACTATTCTTATTAGCACTAAATCACACTGGTGTGGCTATTTTCAGAAAAAGGAATGATCACCTCGGCTAGCCATCTCAGGGCAAACCCCGAAACAACCCTTGTAGTGCAGCTACTCTTGCATTGCAATGGTCAACAGCTTGTATATGTCTAGGGGGCCAGAGTAAAGCACTTTTACTTACCTGATCCCTGGCGCCCACCTCTCTCCCCTCCAGTCCGGCTGGTGAAATGTCCCTCAGCATCCTCATGTCTAATGCAGATCTATGAAACCTGCATTAGAAGTTAAGATGTCAGCAGTAATTAGACCGCCAGAGCCCAGGAGAGAAGAAGCTTCAGGGACTGGTCTAGCACTGCGGAGGGGGCCAGTGAGAGTGGTGATCTGGTAAGTAAAATAGACTTTTCCTGTCCACTAGGCATATACAAGCTGTTAACCCTTGCAGTGGTTTTTTGGTTTGCCCAGAGATGGACTTTAGGTCTATGGGGAAAGGATTAGCAGCCTAGAAGAGCCAATGGAAGCAGGGATCAGATAAGTTGACCCTTGCAGTGAGTGAGTAGCCCCACTGAAAGGGTACTTTTTTGGTTTGCCTGGAGTTGGGCTTTAGGCCTATGGGAAAAGGTGCATTGCAAACAGGCAACACACTCTGGTAACTTTGCCTTGAGTGCCAGAGGATCTTGTCCCAGCAATTCTGTTCATATATATATATCTGTTCATATATATTTTAGCTGCAACAGAGCCTCCCTTTAAACTGCTTTAGGTATGCGGTTAGTGCATGTATTTTTCTATTATTGTAGTAGGTTGGTTTTGCAGATTTCTTCTTCCCCGTCTGACGTCTTGTATCTTGTCTTCACACATTTGTGTTGCGTGTGACACTATGACCACACACAAAGCAATCACCTTTTCTTTTGTCATGTCCAACAACGCCACAGAATAGCGTTCACAGTTCAAGTAAATCCTGACAGTATACAGAGCCTTGTGAAACTGACGCTCGATGTCCGTTAGTTCCTCAAAAGCCTTGTTAGCGCACCAAAGCAGTACCTGTAAAGAGGAAATTACCAGGTTACGGCTGAAAACAAGCCAAAACAACAGCTTTTTTTAGCAAACACATTTTGAAAGTGTATACTGTAAATTGCCCGCTTCAACATAAATGTTTAGCATTTGAAGCTGACCCATTCATTATATATAAAAGCACCTGATAGGAAAAGGTTGTCCATGTATTTAAACCCTCACACATTTTTGCACATATCTACTGCTAGCATTCAGTAGATTAAAAAAAAAAAAGTTACCAAACAGGTTTAAATTTACCTGAGTCTCCACCGCGCGCTCCCGTCCGAAGATCTGAAAATTCTCGGGCGGCCGCAAAGGATCATGGGGCGGGCGCATGCGCAGTACAGATCTTTGGCCGGGAGACGAGGAGAGACACAGTAAATCAATGTAGGCAGCCCAGCAGCGTGCACCCGCACAGACACTGTGGGACACAGAAGACACAGCAGTCAGCGCTGGATCAGAGACCGGCACCAGCACTGGAGGGACTCCTGAAAACTACAGGAAAGAAGATGATTGGATCAAGCGGTATCATTTAAGGTAAGTACACACATCAGCATTGGGGCAGGGGGGAGAACAATTTTTTTTACTTTAATTACACTTTAATTTGGCCATACACTGCAAAACTTGCATAAATGTTCATACGCCATTTTAAAATGAACAAAATAAGGGTAAATATATGTATGTATATCTGTATGTATATATATATA